AAAAAAAAAAAAAAAAAAAAAAAAAAAAAAAAAAAGAAAAGTAACACATGCACCTGAGAGAAAATTCAAAGGTGTTTGCAGCGCCCCCTCCCCGGGCATTCGCATCAGCAGCTTCTCCTGCTTGCGGAGCACAGGCTCCGGACGCGCAGGCCCAGCGGCCATGGCTCACGGGCCCAGCCGCTCCGCGGCATGTGGGATCTTCCCAGCCTGGAGCAGGAACCCATGTCCCCTGCATCAGCAGGCGGACTCTCAACCACTGTGCCACCAGGGAAGCCCTCAGAGGTGGTTTTACGCATAGAGGTCTGCTCCATTCTTTCAACGGCTGCGTAGTATGTTATACGGATGTACCAGCTTTTATTTAAGCATTCAGTGGACATTCAGGTTTGTTTCCACTTTTGCTGCAGTTAATAGCCTTGTACAGGCATCATTGCGTTCATGTGCAAGTAAATCGGAGGAAATGGAGTTGTTGGTCCAAGTGGTACATGCCTTTAAAATCAGGATAGGGACTTCCCCGGTGCCTCAGCGGTTAAGAATCCGCCTGCCAATACAGGGGACATGGGTTCAAGCCCTGGTCCGGGAAGATCCCACATGCCGCGGAGCAACTAAGCCCGCGTGCCACAACTACTGAGCCTGCGCTCTAGAGCCCTCAAGCCACAACTACTGAAGCTCTTGGCGTCTAGAGCCCGTGCTCCACAAGAGAAGCCACCGCAGTGAGAAGCCCGCGCACCGCAACGAAGAGTAGCCCCCGCTCGCCACAAGTAGAGAAAACCCGTGCACAGCCACAAAGACCCAATGCAGCCAAAAATAAATAAATAAATTTATTAAAAAAATAAAAATTAAAAAAATAAAATCAGAATAGGTACTGCTAGGTGCTCCTGCCCTGGCAGTGTGTGAGGGGCCTGAAATGCACCTTGGGGGTGGCAGGGAGGGTGGGGGGGACTGAGTTACCTGCTGGGGTTGGAACAGTAGTCAGAGGCTTTCCTGGGGAGGCCAGGGATGGGGCAGTGGTTTTCAGGGCCGGGGGCTTGGGTTCCAGTCCACCTTTGGGTGGGCTTGCTACCTGCCTTGGGAGGGATCTCACTCTCTCTCTCCCCCTTGCAGGTTGATGGCATGGCTCCTGCACAGGCTGGAGATGGCCCTGCCACAGCCAGTGATCCGTGGGAAGGCTGGGGAGCAGGTCGGTGCTGGTCTGGGGGGAGTGGGGGCCTTGAGTGGTGGTTGGAGGCGTCTTGGGAGCTCAGGCAAGGGAGGAATGGTCCCTGGGTGGGAGGGGAGGGCACAGAAGGAAGAAGGGAGCCTGCAGCTGGAGCTCAGCCCACCCAGCCCGCCTGTCTGCATGGCTCACACTCACTCCACACACACTGTCTGGTCACTGTGGCCACAGGGCTGAGAAGGGCTGGCCCAGCCCCTCCTGCCAGGTGGTCACAGTCAGTGGGGGAGGTGCTTCCCTGGGGGCGGGCAGAGAGGATGTGGGGTGCAGAGGAGGAGCCTCCCAGGAGCATCAAGGAAGACTTCCTAGTGGAAGTGGCCTGCAAGCTGAGAACTGAAGGGGGAGGGGGAGGAGGAAGAGGGTGGTGTAGGAAGGGCCGTGCAGGCAGAGGATCCGTATGTGCAAAGGCCCAGAGACGAGAGGCCCGGAGTGTTCTGGGAAGAAGTGGGGCTCTCAGGAAGCCAGTGGGCCCTGTGTGCGCTCCTGACGACCTAGGGCTCCCACATGGGTGGGCGGGGGGAGCAGGGCCTCCCCCACCTCTCCCTCTCCCAGAACCTCCCACCTGGCCCTTCTCTCTTGGGGACAACTGGCCATCTTCATAGAAGCACCTGGGGGGCAGGAGGCCTGGGTCGCACTCCCCCTGCAGTAGGAGGTGGGCAGGAAGCTTCAGGGTCCCTTCCCCGTGGGCTGAGCCTTCAGGCTCCACGTTCATGGCCTCTGAGGGTGGCAGAGGACGCTCAGCTTTGGAGCTCCCCAACAGGAGGAAAGCGGGGTGTCCAGTGGCAGGAGTGATCAGTGGATGAAGATGTGCTCACTGAGGGGGGGATCCCTGAGGACGGGGCTGCGGGGGGATGGTGTGGTGCTGGCGGGGAGAGGCCTTCGTGCAGATGGAACTTTGAGACAACACTCCAGGGAAGGATGGGAGGGGTTTTTCATACATAGAGAACCAGAGAGAGGGCATTCCAGGCAGGGGCCCAGCCTGGGCAAAGGAGCTGAGGTGGGACGAGGCAAGTGGTGCAGCTGGCGGGGGAGTGACTGGAGGGGTGGGCGGCCTCTGAGGCGGGAGGAAAGAAGCAGGACGGGTCCCGGGAGCCGTGAGGAAACCCCCTTGCTCCTGCCTGTGCCGTGAGGGCTGATGCGAGCAGGGAGGCCGGTGAGGAGTCCACAGCAGTTTTTTTCTCCTTTTCTCCCCATACAGGAGCCTGACTCCCCTGTGACATGTGACGTGCAGAGCAGTAAGTGACACGTTAGTGGATCCTCATGTGGGTCTCCATGGGGGTTGCTTGGTCTGAGCGTGCATGGGTCGTGGGGCAGGCAGAGCCTCCGGACCTGGAGCTGGGAGAGCCCCATGTTCTGTAGGCCCTACCTCAGATCAGCCTGGCCAGGTCACCAGAGCCCGGCCCAGAGCCAGATGGTGGCTGGAGGCCCCTCCTGGGAGCCGGGGTTGGGTAGATGCACACATAGGCAGGAACCTGGCTTGCCTTCCAGCTTCTATCCAGAAAAAATAATTCTGAGGTCAAGTTGGATGGGCCCCCATTTCCTGCTAGGAGCCCCCGGTGAGAACTCTCCACAGCCCCCTGGGCCAGTGGGTTTGGCTAAGCAGAGTCCCTGATTGTGGGGTGAAAGGAGGGAGATGGGCTTTCTCTGGGGGAACTGGACCCCTTGAGCTGGGAGGGCATCCCCTCCCTTGTGGGGTATGTGTGCTGCCTTTTATCCCAGCTGTGCACCAGGACTGGGGCCCAGACTGAGGCCAGGAGGGGAGGGCTAGGGCCCCAAATCCGCTCTTACTTCCATTC